CCCCCCCCCCCCCCGCCCCCCCCCGCGGGCCCCCCCCCCCCCCGGGGGGGGGGGGGGGGGGGAGTGGGTGGAGCTGAACGGAACTTCTCAATGCTTTGCTATTCCATCGAGACAAGAGCTTTCTGGAGGAAGCTTACCTTTGAATACTCCAACATCAGATAGTAAAGGATGCTCAGAGTCTTCAGAATAAGGATGCTTTTTTGGGGTGCTTTGGCGGAAGTAGATTCTTGAATAATCAGGATTGAAGTTAGGATCCGAATGGCTTCCGCTTCCTGGGCTTCATCTGCATTGGAAGAGGAGAAAAGAAACAAGCCTTGCAGGCTTTGGCAGTGGGAGTTGGGGGTGGCTTGGTGGCTTACTGAGTAAGAAAGCTTGCTATGTGACCACAAAGACCTGAGTTCAGAAAACCAGGTATGGCTTGTTGGCCTGTGACCACAGTGCTGGGCAGAAACAGAAACAGGAGGCTTGCTGGAGCTGGCTGCATGGGACAGGCTGTATCTACACACACACACACACACACACACACACACACACCTGTCCTTGCTCTAGACACTAAGCCTGCTGCAGCCTCCTCTCCTGGGTCCTAGAGGAAACAGTGCACACACAGCACACGAGTGGGAAGTAGGGCGGCTTCCTACAGCTCTCTAGCTCGGTCTAAGGGGTCAGTAGTGGAGAGACCACAGGTGCCCTAAGCTGCTAAGGTTTCTATTTCAGAGGCTGAGATCTCCTGAGCTCCTAATACAGGGAACTGGTCAGGTCAGATTCCTTGGGGCCATTCAGCCCCAGCTCCAGTTGTAGCGCCCGTATTCCTCCTCCAAAGGTCAAAGACAGCTGGCCAACAGCCTATCTGTTCCACACCAGAGTTTCTTTATTTCCCTCAGAGATTTTTTTCTTTGTTTGTTTGTTTATATTTTATTGAAACATGGTCTCATGTAACCCAGACTTGCTATGTAGCCCAGGCTGGCCTTGGACTTCTGATGCCCCTGCCTCTACCTCTTAAGTGCTGGGATTATAAACGACTCCTTCCCGGAGACTTTTGTTTCTGTGCCATTCACCATTTATTGGATAGTCATTATGGGCCAGCACTTGAGAGCATATGTGTAAGTAATAAGCTTAAAGAAAAAGGCAAAAAGCACAAGCCCATAATGCTATGCATGGCTACCTGTGCGTGACTGCCTGTGTGTGGCTACCTGTGTGAGGCTATCTGTGCGTGGCTACCTGTGCATGGCTATGTTTCTACTACAATGTGAACCACTTTCCTGATGAGGAAACTGGATGAGGTTACTAACTTTCTAAACCTTTAGCTTAAAGTCTTGGCTTCAGTCACCCTTTCAGGGCCACCTACCAGTCTTCACGTCTTCATTCTGGGACTCCTGTTAGAACTTGTACCTGTGGCTGTCCCTTTGTGCTGCAAACGGGCTCTGCATTGTCACTGCACCGAGAGGGGCTGACTTTTTAGTGGAACTAGATCCTCCATCTCTCTACCATCTCAGAGGACAATGCCACACACAGTGCTACCCAATATGCAGCCCTTTGCTGGGCTTGGGATGGAGGTGCATTGAGGTCCCTGCCATTGAGGACCTCACACACTGGAAAGGAGGAAGATTCTGTCAGGAGGAACCAACAAGGCAACTTCTGCACAGAGCTTCCCTGGGCTTATGTATCCTGGAGGGAAAACCAAGAAATTGATAGGTAAAAACCACCGGGGTTTAGTAGGGGGCTCCCCCTTTTCTCTAAGTCTGCCCTTATCAGCCTGCTAAGGATTATGTGTAATGGTGGGGGTCTCAATTCCTCCTGACATTGGTATACGCCCTTTGAGCCCTTTGTTTCCATCTTCTCTCCATCTCCACGATGGGCTCCGAGAGAACAGAGGCTGAGTGTTAGGGAGGAAAAGCCACTGTTCTGTTTGCTAGACCTGCCACTTACCCAAGCCAGTATCATTCACAAACTGTTTGCCCAGTAAATCTGTTTGTTGGGTACGAGCCTGTAAGAGGGCTTGATAGTGACTGTTCAGATACGTATACCAAATCTCCGAGACCTGTTGGGAAAGCAGGGTGATTAGACCAGCAGGTCAGGGTTAGCCACTAGCCAGCCAACTGGGAACACGCTGTACAAGGCCAGGTTTCCTGAGTCTAGAAGTTCTCATTCTTACTCTGCTTGGAAGCAGAGTGAGCCCTGGGAGTCCAGACAAGGGCTAGACAGGCTCATCATGGGCAGCCTTGCCTGGGTCTAGGGTAAATGGCTACTGTGGTAGTTTGAATAGGTTTGGTTCCCATTGACTCATGTGTTTGAATGCTTGGCCTACAGGGAATGGCACCATTAGGAGGTGTGGCCAAGTTCCAGTAGGTGTGTCACTGTGGGGGTTGGCTTTAAGGTAAGCTCCACCAAATGTGGAACTCCAGTCTCCTGGCTGCCCTCGAATCAAGATATTAGAACTCTCAGCTCCTTCAGCACCACGTCTACTTGCGCGCTGACAAGCTTCCCTCCATGGTGATAATGGACTGAACCTCTGAACTGTAAACCAGCCTCAAGTAAATGTTTGCCCTCATGCCTTGGTCATAGCATCTCTTCACAGCAATGGAACCCTTAGACAGCTACCACTGTGAAGCAAGTGTTCATTACTCCTATTTACATGTGAGTAAACTTGGGCTTAGAGAAGTTGCCGACACACTGAACTTCTGGAAAGAGCTGGCAAATGGCACAGCCTGGCTACACACCCAGTTCTGTCTGACTCCAAAGCTCCCTGGTGTTCAGCCACACCAAAGCACCTTTTTCTAAGAACTAGAAATCCACAGTCACAGCATGATGGCCTCTATCCCACACAGAAATGGCAGCTGCCTAAGAGAGGATTGCTGACTGGATAGCTGGCGTGTTCAGACACTGGAAAGTCTTTACAGAAAGAGTTTGGCAGGAGAGAAAGCTCAGCTGAGAAAGTGCTAGCTGAGCAAGCATGAGGACCTGAGTTCAAATTCCAGCACCCACTGGATATAAACGCAGTGACACAAGCTTGCAAATGCTGGTGTTGGGAGCAGAGACGGGAGGACCCCTGGGGCTTGCTGGCCAGCCAGTGTACCCTACTTCGCAAGCTCCAAAGCGTAGAGACCCTGTGGATGGTGCCTGGAAAAGAACACCCAAGGCTAGACTGTGACCTCCACATGCAAGCACACACAAGCTACACGCACATGTGTACACACACACACACATGCACACACACAAAAGAATTTTAAGCTGGGTATGATGGTGCAAGGCTTTAATTCCATCACTCATTAGATAGAGTCAGAAGGATCTCTGTGAGTTTAAGGACAGCCTGGTCTACATAGTGAGTTCTAGGTTGGCCAGGAGTAACTAGAAAGACCTTGTCTCAAATGATGATAATAGTAATACAAAAAAAAAAAAAACAAAAAAAACAAAACAGAGTCAACTCATCCGGGTCCATATTAGCTCACAGAGAATGAGCCAACCAGGATGCCCACATGGGACTGACCTAGGACCTCTGCACCTATGTTACAGTTGTATAGCTTGGTTTTCTTATGGGACTCCTAAGAGTGGGAGCAGGGCTGTCTCTGACTCTGTTGTCGGCCTTTGAGACATGCTGGGCATAACATACTTCCTACTGGGCTGCCTCATCTACACTTCATTAGAGACAATGTGCCTAGTCTTACTGCAACTTGATTTGCCATGGCTGCTTTATATCCAGGGGAGGCCGGCCCTTTTCTGAAGAGAAAGGGAGAAGGAGTGGATGGGGAAGAGAGGAGGTGGGGGGGCATAGTGGGAGGAGAGGACAGAGGGAAAACTGCAGTTGGAATGTAAAATAGATAGGTAGATAGACAGATAGATAGAAACTCAGGAGGTTAGAAAGGGGCCTCAACAGACTAGGTAACTGCCACCAAGTATGATAATGAGAATTCCATCTCCTGCCCCATGTGCTGGAGGGGAAGAGTCAGTGTGACATGGTGCATGCGCACAGACACTAAAGTTCATATAATAATAAATATATATAAGCATAATTTTAAAAACTTAAACCTACCTTACTTATGAGGGGGTGGGGAGTTTGGGGGTGCAGGTGCTGCAACATGCATGGGGAGGTCAGAGGTCACCATTCAGGAATCGGTTCTCTCCTTTCACCATGTGGGTGGGCCCTGGATCAAACTCAGGGGCAGGCTTGGTGGCACCATACTTTATACTTCTGTATTGTATACCTCCATATGCCTGCCTCGCTGGCTGTGTGGGTGTGGCAGAGGCTGCTGTGAGCTCTGGTTCTCTGTGAGTCTCTCTACAGATGCTAAGGATTGGCCCATGTTGGCATTAGACAAAGAGAAAGAGTAAAGTGAGTACCCCCGGACTGGCTGTGTAAGCTGACATGTCAGTCAGCCTCTGAGCATGTCTGCAATGGCCTGACTCTGGTTATAGATGCCAGGCATGAGTGCCAGTGCTGAGGCCCCACATTCCCCAGCTTACCTTTGTATACAATGTGTCGGCCAGCTCCATTTTCTTAAGGCTATAGAAAATGTTGGCCAGGTGGAAGTAGCCTCCTGAGGTCCTGACATCTTCTGTCCCATATGCACAGCTGGCAAAATAAATCTATCACAGGAATAAGAGAAGGCGCCTGAGTCCCTCGAAAACCATGTATTTGATTAAAAAAAAAAAAAAAGGCATGTGTCCAGAATACACGGGAAAAAAAAACTTTAATCGTAGCCTGATGTGAAAATGGACTCGGGACCTGAGCAGACATTTCTCTGAAAGACACATGGATGGTTAACAAGCATGTGACCATCATTCAAGGAAAGCAAAACAAAATCACAACAGTATCACTCCTCTTCATAGTCAATAGGACAACTATCTTCAAAAAGAGAATGACAAGACAGGTGAGGGAATTAAGCCCAGACATGGCTGGGACTGATGAAAAATGCTGGAGCCTGGGCAGCAGCTAGCCAGATCTTCAGAAGGCTAAACATGGAATTGCTGCGTGGCCCAGGAAAAACTGGCACACATGTCCACATGTGAAGAGACAGGTTCACGAATATCTGTCGAAGTCATTCTTAACAGTCCCAGGGCAGAAACGGCACATACATCTCATCTCAAGAGTGATAAGTGACTGCGCCCTAGTCAGGGTAGACTGCTTCTTTACAACGAAGGCATGAGCTGTAGCTCAGCAGTGGCTGCACTGCGAGCACTGTGCAGGGTGAGGGCAGTCAGATTCCAGACTCTGCCTGTAATTCTCCCTCTATAAAGAGCATGCGCCGATGGCCATGGTGCACACCTTTAATCCCAGCCCTCAGGATGCAGAGGCAGGCAGATCTCTGGGAGTTCGAGGCCAGTCTGGTATACATAGTGAGTTTCAGGATAGCCAGGGTTACTCCAAAAACCTTTATCTCGGAAGAAGAAAGAGGAGAAGGAGGTGAAGAAAAAGAAGGAAAGAAAGAAAAAAGGAAGGAAGGAAAGAAGGGAGGGAGGGAGAGAGGAAGGAAGGAAGGAAGGAATGAAGGAAGGAAGGAAGGAAGGAAGGAAGGAAGGAAGGAAGGAAGGAAGGAAGAAAAAAATCTATGGAGACAGAGACTGGCTGCCTGGGGTTGGGATTTGAATGGGAAATGAGTGCAAACGGAAATGAGGGCTTCTCTGAGCGATGGACATGTGCTCCTGGTTGTATAGCTCTGTAAATGCACTGAAACTTACTGAAGTGGACAGTGAAAATGGGTGGTTCTGTAGTTTGTATCAGTGAAGTGTTCGGTAAAGAAGGGGAAGAAATGTAGGTGTGATATCGAAAATCTGTAATCCCAACACCCAGGAGGCCAAAGCAGGGTCAAGATAAACCTGAAGTATATAATAAGACCTTGTCTCAAAAAAGGTAGCTAGAGACAGGGTGCCATGCACCTCTAATCTCAGCGCTTGGAAGGCAGAAGCAGGTGGATCTCTATGAGTCTGAGGTCAGCTAGAATACATAGTGAGACCCTGTTCAAAAGGAAAACAAACAACAACTGTGTGTGTGTGTGTGTGTGTACTCAGGAAACATGGTTTTGAGGTTTTGATCTAATTCCTAATTGTGTGGTCAGCACAAGACAGAATGTGCCTCTACTTAATTAACTGAAGGATGTAGGGGGGCAGAGACAAATATAAATGAAGAAAAATTGCCAGACACGGTGGTGCACACCTTTAAGCCCAGCATCCAAAAGGCAGAGGCAGGTAGATCTCTTTGAGTTCAAGGCCAGCTGGGTCCACATATCAAATTCCTGGACAGCCAGGACTAGGTAATAAGTAAGATCCTCTCTCTTTCAAAAAAAAAAAAAAAGTATTGGTAAAGGGCTTGGACAGAAAGAGATGGCATAGGGCTGCCTGAAGTCACTTAATGGAAGAGTGACTGGAGATTTGGAAGTCACAAAAGCAAGAGGGTCAATGGAGCTTCAAGAACAGTTAATGGCAAAGAACTACTGCCATCCCTGTACCTCAGAAAACCAGAGGAGACAGCATGGAGAACAGAGACCAGTCAGAGCTGGGGCTATGGCCACTAGACAGGAGCTGTATCCAGACAGGAAAGCTGACTGCTTCTGCCAGAACTGAGGTGGGTGTACTCACCCCTCCCCACCGTATCTCCACACTCCTGCCCCCTGCTGTGCCTCCCACTCTTCAGTCCCTAGCAGAGTCAGACAGCAGTGGTGTTCAGGAGAGCCATGGAGGTCAGCATCCCAGGGCAGAGAGTTGCCCGCACAATGGCCTCGAGGTACAGGGAAGAGTCTAAGGCAAGCACAGAGGCAGGCAGCCAGAGGGAAGGCTGTGTGGAGGAAAGGTGAGAGTAGCGACTACAGAAATGCCCCAGGGAGTGCAATAGGACCCACCTAGTGTGGATTAGGTGCAAGAGCCCTGTCTGGTACTGTTTTCCAGCCCCACATCCGATGAGGAACTCCCTAACTTGAGCAGAGCAGCTCATCTGACTCCCGCACCTCACAGTTGTACGGGTTTATAGATTGTAAGTTCTTTCTTATAGATCTAGCTCATTTAAATTTAATAACCACACTCTGAAGAAGAGACGTTAATATTATTTTAACAAATAGCCACAAAGTCCAGTGAGTACAATCTTCTATTATTAATCTCTGCAATGCGCTGATGTGGTTGGGACCGGTTTATGATTTGTGTCTTACATGTGATGAAAAAGGTTAAATAATTTGTCACAAAACTAGCAGGGCTGGAAACAGTAGCAGAGCCCTTCTCTTAGCAGCTCTGCTTTACAGATTAGCCTCAGACAACTGAGGAGGGGGAGGGGAGAGATGGAGCCTGGCCACATTTGCATAGTCAGGAAGTAGAAAGGCTTGAACTGGGGTCATTTGAGCGGAGTTCTTGCTGCTCCCAAAACGGTTAGTATAAGCAGTAAGTGTTAAGAGAAATGCTCAGCTAAGAGAAACACTAAACGGAGCCATTCTTGGAAATACCCAGGTGTTTTAAGTGAGCTCTCTCACGTCATTAGCCAGATGGTACCGGGCTTCCTCGAGGTTCTTCTTGGCGATGTAGAGAAGGCCCAGGTTCCGATGCAGTAAAGAATGGGTGGCGTTACTACAGTCAGTTGACTTGAGGACTGTCCATTGGGCTTGGGATAGATATTCTTCAGCCTGCACTATCCGACCCAGACCTGTCAAAGTCAGTTATAAAAGAGGTATAAGCCAGGCATGGTGGTACATGCCTTTAATTCTAGCACTTGGGAGGCAGAAGCAGGAGCATTGCCTGGAGTTCCAATACAGTTAAGGCTCTGTAGAGATACCCTATCTCAAAAACCCCTAAATAAGCCGGGCGGTGGTGGCGCACGCCTTTAATCCCAGCACTTGGGAGGCAGAGGCAGGAGGATTTCTGAGTTCGAGGCCAGCCTGGTCTACAGAGTGAGTTCCAGGACAGCCCAGGCTACACAGAGAAACCCTGTCTCGAAAAACCAAAAAAAAAAAAAAAAAAAAAAAACCCTAAATAAATGAATAAATAAATAAAGTTATAATTCCTATTTTAACAAAAGAATATATGATGATATATGGGTTATCAAACATTGGTTTATTCATTGATACAAATATTTATTGGTGCCCAAAGTCACTCATGAATGTTCATAGCAATCTATCCATAACAGATGCTCATCAGTTGATAAGCATATCCTTACCCATGAGTGAACTGTGATTAGTCATAAACAGAAGAATACTGCCTGTATACATGCTACAGAGAGGATGGCTTGAAAACAGCATGCTAAGTGAAAGAAGACAGACACCAAAACACCACATATCATCAGACCCCATGTATGTGAAATGCCCAGAACAGGCACACACAGAGAGAAGGGAGTTGGTAGTGGGGGTGCATCACAGAGAGGAAGAAGTGAGGCTGTTTAACAAGGGGTAACTACAAACAACTATATGGATGTTTCAAGCTGATGGAATGTTCTGAAGTTGAATAGGAGTGAGTTATACAACCTTTTGAATATATAACCTTCTGACTATATTACATTGTACCTTAGAAGGATGAACTTATAGACTGTGAATTCTCTCTTTCTACAAATATACACAATGCAGACAGGCAGAGAGAGAGATACACTGGGATTTTAATATTTATTTATTTATTTATTTATTTATTTATCTTTTTGTTTTGTTTTGCTTTAGACCGAGTTTTTGTAGCTCTGGTCTTGAACTCTATGTAGACCAGAATGACCTTGAACACATAGAGATCCTCCTGCCTCTACCTCCTCAGCGCTGGGAAATAAAGGTGTGCACCACCAGGTCAGGTTTGTATCAGGCCTTTAAAAATATTTATTTTGCTGGGCAGTGGTGGTGCATGCCTTTAATCCCAGCACTTGGGAGTCAGAGGCAGGCAGATTTCTGAGTTCGAGGCCAGCCTGGTCTCCAGGACAGCCAGGGTTATACAGAGAAATCCTGTCTCGAAAAACTAAAAAAAAAAAAAAAAAAAAAAATTATTTTGATTATGTGTGTGTGGGGGAGGGTAAGTGCAAGTGAATACTGGTTCTTGGGGAAGACAGAAATGTGGTGTCAAATTCTCTAGAACTACAGGCAGTTATGAGACATCTAACAAGGTTGCTGGAAACTGGAGTCCTGTCCATAAGCAATATATACATACTTCATTTTGCTCTGCCTGGTTCTTCTCAAGGAGGCAATGCTAAAGAAGAAGGTCTCAAGGCTGTGCTGCAGCTGCATCTAAACAAACATCAGTCCTGAAGGAAAAGGCATACTAGGGAGAATGCACCACAGGCTTCGGGTTCAGAGAGCCAGACTAAATCTATAACTAGCAATGGAGTGAGCTGAGCTCTCAGGAAAATCAGGACAAGAGGAAGAAGTTTCTGAATGACTGACTTAAAAAGAGACACAGAGCGAGCAAGATAGCTCAGCAGGAAAAAAGACTTGACATGCCCAAAGCCAGACAGTTCTATCACTGGGACCTACACTGTGGGAGGAGAGACCAGCTCCCTCTGACCTCCACATAAGGGCTGTGGCACTTATACCTGTGAACACATACACACAAATAAAATTAAGGTTAAAAAAAAAATACCCAACCTAGTCTTTGGAGATAGGGAAAGGCTTCCAGACCAAAGACTAGAAACCTTGACCTGAGAGACAACAAGGAATTAATTAGGTGGAAAGGGACAAAGGACTTGAAAGAAGGTATCCATAACTGGAAAAAAGAAAACAGCAGGACAGAGATGCCATTGTGGGCCTCAGACTGTGTTGGATGTGTCTTTGGATGTGCAATGGGATCACATTGCTCAGTGTTAGTGAGACTGAAGACAGCCTAAACGGACATGGAGAAAGCAGCTAGCAGGCACACAGGCAGCTGATGCTGGGGCTTTGGCTTAAATGACTTTTTCAAAGCTCCATAGTCAGTGTCAGGGTACACAGAGTCTGGGTTGCATTTCCTGGCCTCGAGTTCTGCCTACAGTCTAGAATGGGGTGTCAGACCTCAGCAGCGTGAACAAGGCAGCCTGTAAGTACAAGGCCTGGTACAGGGAGCCAGAACCAAATGTCTAAGGACAAGATCCATGCAGGAGAGTGGGCCCAGAGGGAGAAGGAAGCGTTCACTCAGGCAAGAGAGGGCATCTTTGGGGGTCGACTCTTTCACTGGAGAAAAAGAGTTGGTTCAGCTTCTGGGAGCCCATCATGTATACAAACACACCAAGGGTTGTGGAAGGCAGCATCCTCCCTGTCAGAGGAGCGGACTGAAGATGAAGTGGGAGACTGGACTGAAGATGAAGTGCTGAGCACACCCATGTCATGTGTGAGAAATATTTTTTTCTGTAATGCACTCTAAAATTTTTGTTTATGACAAGGAGCTCAAATCTTTTTATTCCCCACCACCACCCTGTAAAAACCTTTATGGAAATGTTTAGATCCCCTAACCCACTAAATATTTGCTTACTCAAAAGCCCTGCTGCGCCGGGCCGTGGTGGCACACGCCTTTAATCCCAGCACTTGGGAGGCAGAGGCAGGCGGATTTCTGAGTTCGAGGCCAGCCTGGTCTACAGAGTGAGTTCCAGGACAGCCAGGGCTATACAGAGAAACCCTGTCTCAAAAAACAAAACAAAACAAAACAAAAAAAAAAAAAAAACAAACAAACAAACAAAAAAAAAACAAAAGCCCTGCTGCATTCTTAAAACTTGATTTAAACGGCCCTCCCCTTCCCACTCACCTTCGTTTCCTTTTCAAACTAGCCAACTGCAGCAGACTGTGAATTCAGACCCAGCCAGTGGGGAAATGACACAGTCAGCACCTGAGCTAAAATAAAACCCAAGTGACCTTCCTGTCCATGTGCTTGCTCACCGGGTTCCCTGTCTCTGTGTGCTTGCATGACAGGTTTGGGTCATGGGTGCCCAAAATCGCCTCGACTCGGTACGTTCACCTTGTTCGTGAATTCCTTTTGTGTGATGCTGAGATTATTTGTGTCTAACATGGATGTGAGATGTATTGTGTTTACACATCCATCCCTTAATTCTGTACACTCCTTAGCTCCAGCACAGGTAAGACCCCATAGCAATGAGTAAGTCTAGTGAACAGCTTTTGGTGTCCAGATTTGTTTTCTGTAGAAAAATAAAAGTAGAGGGGATACAGGGTATTCTAAGAGATACTGTTTCAGAAAGCAGGCACTCAAAAAAAAAAATATGGAGATATTTCAAAGAGCAAGGAGATAAAAAGCCAGCTTGAGTGGTCAAATCAGGTTCAGTTTGAACACATGAGTAGTACTAACTGTAGTGGGTTAAAAACCCAGGGATTAAGACAGGGAACCAGGAGTCAGGATAAATGGCTACAAATGAATAAATACATTGAGAGTTTGGAAAAAAAAGATGTTTACATGACTCCAAAGTACCAACTCATAAAACAAAACTAGAATGAGCCTGATTCATGGCAGCACCACTGTCGTAACAGTGTGATGGTGAGAATTTGGGAGCACATCTCCTACTTGGTAGAAGGAGACACTGCCTGGTTCTAGAACTGCAAATAAAGCCAACTATGATCTTTAAACAGAGTTCAGCTACAAAACATCCAGGCTCTGTAGCTGAGGATGGCCTTGAATTCCTACCTTCCTGCCTCCACTCTAGACCTTACTTCTGGATTTTCCATCTAATACATTCTGATCAGTGTTGCCTATGGGCTAGCATCTGTAATGGGAAAACTGTGTCAGTTGATAGCATGGATTAAGAACACACTGTCACCTCTGTGACATTCCTGTCCCCAACAAGGAAACAGCAGAAAAACCCAACTAGGATGCTTTGTATGATTGGCAATTAAGAGTACAGAGTTTTCAGTCCCCAGCACCCACACGGCTGTCTGTAACTCTAATTCCAAGGGATCGTGTGCCCTCTTCTGGCTTTCTCAGACACTAGGAACATGGGTGATAGACAAACATACCTGCAGGTGAAACACCCAGATACATGAAATAATGCATATTTTTTTAAATTGGCCAATGATCTCTAAAAGTCAAAAGAGCCAAGGGAAAGCCGAAAGACTATTTCAGAGAGAAGATTTAACAAACGGCAGCAAGAGAGGAGACGTGTCTCTGAGTTGTGACTCCTTCCAATTCTGCAACTTTGGGGGCTATACATGTATTTTTGGAGAATCCTGAATGGAAGGCTTCACTGTGCTTGTAAAGGGGGAGTTTGATGAAAAATATCCACTGGAGAGTCCCAGACACAGGGACCCTTCTGCATCCAACAGTAAGGCTTGGATGGAGCGCTTATACTATACCAACAGCAGCTTGACCTCACTTTTTATTTTCAAAGCTGGGACTTGAACCCAGAACTCTACATATGCTAGGCAATGTGCTTTACCGATGAGCTATAGTCTTAGCCTGAAGAATGATCTTCAAAACGATGGCTGTTAGATGTATATGGTGCCTGAAACACTGTAGATGCTCAAGAGTATAAATCCTTCTCCGAATCCTCGTCTGTAGCTGCCCTCAGGCAGGTGCCTGCTAAGAAGCATGCACTCTCACTCAGGGTGCCAGGTCCTGTTTCTGAACTATGACTTTGACTCCAGGAAATAAGGGTAGATGCTACACTCCAACTAGGTTAACAAAATTCTGTCTTCTGGGAATTTGTAATGGAAATCAGATGCTAAGCCATTTCTGCCTCTCAACTTAAATCCAGAGGACATGCAGATGTAACTAAATCTGGTATCTGAAGATTACCTGTCTCCTGCAGTGAGGAGAGGATGTTACAATTTAGTCTACAGATAGGCACACAGTAGTAGATACATACAGAAGAGCAGAGACAAGAAAGAGGGCTGGGGGTGTAGCTGAGTTGGAAGATTGTTGGCTTACCGTGTATGAAGACCTGGGTTTGGTCCCCAACAACACATATCTTGGGAATGTAGTTTTGGCATGAAATCTCAGCACTGGAAGGAAGGGTGGTGGAGGCAGGAGGATCAGAAATTCAGTCACCCCTTAAGCTACCTAGTGAGTTAGAGGTCATCCTGGATTTTTTTTGGGGGGTTGGTTTTTCGAGACAGGGTTTCTCTGTGTAGCCCTGGCTGTCCTGGAACTCACTCTGTAGACCAAGCTAGCCTCGAACTCTTGAACTCAGAAATCCGCCTGCCTCTGCCTCCCAAGTGCTGAGATTAAAGGCGTGTGCCACCACCGCCCAGCCATCCTGGACTTTTTAAGGGGCGCTTTAAAAAGGAGAGGGAAAAGAAGGGACATAAGAGAAAATCTGAGAGCCCAGCCCATTTCCTATAACCCCCCCTAGGACACCCCAACAACCTAATTGATCTCTTCCCTTTGTCTAGGTAAGCTTGAGTGGATTTCTTTTTGTTGTTTTGTTTGTGACAGAGTCTCTCTCTATAGTTCTAGCTGTCCTAGAACTCCCTATGTAGACAAGGGTGGCTTCTTGTCTCTGCCTCTCCAGTGCTGGGATTAAAGGTGAATGACACCAGGCCCAGCTTGAGTGGATTTCTGTCAGCTGTGGCCATAGCTTTCACACCCCTATGCCAGCCTTCATTCCAACCCTCCTGTTCCACAGAGGGTGTCTTGCTCCTGTCGAGGATCAATACAGTACTTCAACTGGCTCCAGGGGCCTAAAGTCAGTTCCACTCACCAAGGCTGGCCTCAGCCAGGAGCAGGTAAGCAGGTACAAGCTCGACTGAGCTCAGGCCGTGCACATTCATGCGGAATCGGAGGGAGTGCAAAGCCGCAGGGACGGCATCTTCATGTCTTCCTTCAAAGAGATATTTCTGGGCGACTGTGTAGCAGAATTCAATCAAGTGCTTCTGTGGAAGACAGAAATAGGCACTTTAAGACAAGGTAAAATACAAGGTAGAAATACCTGCAGGTAAAGCCAATGTCTGCTGAAGGGATTTGGGGAGCCTGCCTGTACTAGGTAGACTTTAGATTGAGGGGTGCAGTGGATAAAAATGCTAACTTGGGATGGTGAGGCCAAGGTCCAGGAACAGACATCTTTCATTTTAGTTCAGAATTTGGCAGACAGGAATGTTGGACACGGGCTCTCAGATGAACAGCACACATCAGTCCTCTAGTTCTTTTCATTGTTGTGTTTTATTTATTTACCTTTAAAGACAGAGTTTTATGTAATTCAGGATAGTCTCAAACTCACTATGTGGGTGAACATGTACCACCACCCACTTTTACATGAAACCAAAGCTCCAACCTAGGGTTTGATACCTGCTAGCCAAGTACATACCAACTGATGTACATCCTTGGCCTAATTTTAATAAAACTTTAATGTAGCAATGCTACAGATGACATAAGACAATGCCTTTTGTAGAGAGCTTTTGGGGCTGCTTGGCAGAAATCTGACATTGGCCAAGGACAAGGAAATGGGCTTTAGGCAGGAATCTGACTTTGGGCCATGACAAGGAAGTAAGTTCAGGCAGGAATCTAATTTTAGGCTAAAACAGAGAAGTAATTTCAGTCAGGAATCCAAGTCTTAGGCTAAAACAAAGAAGTAGGCCTCAGGCTTGAATATGACTGTGGGCTAGGACAGGGAAGTAGGCTCAGATACTTTGTCATCCTGATGAGCCCTTAGAAACAGCAATCATGAGAGTGATCACAGGGTGATCACGGGACTCTGTATATTGCCTCGTTTGTTCCTTGACTGTTTGTTTCTATTGTATTGTTGGTTCCTCAACCTAGAACTGACCTAAATACTTGCATGTAATTAAAAGGGCTTAAAAGAAAAGTTGAATTAAACAAACCTGCCTTCAGCCTCAGAACTGGCTGGGATCACGCTATAATTTTGTCTAATCGTCTCTTTTCTTTTATTCCTCACCCCTGTGCTGGAGAACCTGTTGACTGACTGAGCGGGCTTGGTCAGCCTTTATACCCTAATATATTCCTTTTGGTGTACTTATATTGTAAATATCTTACTATACCAGTGGTTTTCAACCTTCCTAATTTCTGCAATACTTTAATACAGTTCATGTTATAGTGACCCCCCACCATAAAATTACTATCATTGCTACTTCATAATTGTAATTTTGCTACTGTTATGAGTCATGATGTAAATATTTTTGGAGACAGATGTTTACCAAACAGGTGGCTTTTACTTCCTCAGAGAAAGTGATGAGCTGAAAGCCATATCCGAGCTTATGAATACATGGCTTGGGTTGAACCCAGAGTGTTTCTATCTATCCCTAGGCCTAAGCCTGGGAGTTTCTAACCTCTGTACTATCTAACCTTCTGCAAGCCATGGCCTTGAAGGCTTCAGCTTCCAGCCTTTGTCTGCTAATCTAGGCGTAGAATGTTTCAGCCTCTGAGACTTACTGCTGAATAAACTTACTTTTTCTAGCTCTGTCTGAACTCTGGCTGGCTGGTTCAACTCAACTGTTTTGGCTCAAATGCTTCTCCAAGCTGACTGATTCAAATAAGCTTCTCTTGGCTTCCTACTGATTTGCTCTCCTTGAAAAAGACTGCTTCTGAACTGCACCAAATAAAGTGCTCTCAATTGAACAGACTGAGCTGAACTTGAACTGTCTCTCCCTCCCTGTTCTTAAGTAGCCTCTCCTATCTATTCTCCAGAGGGTTGGACAGATCCTATCTCTGACTCATTTTGTCAAATCTTTCTGATTTGTCACTTTGCCTGCCCCTCAATTAGACAACATTGTTTGGGATTAAAAATATGTACTAAACGCAGGTCTGTATTCCAGCCAGATGGATCAAAGGCACAAACTAAAGGTATGTCTATATTCCAGCCAGAAGAATTAAAGGTGTGTAGTATGTCTGTATTCCATCCAGATCATATCTTTGGATATAATCCCTTGTCAGAGCAGCCATCTTACTGGATTAAAATTCCTCTACAGTCTTATTACAGTACTTGACACATGGATTTTATGGACTGAACCATATCTCACAAAAAGTCATTTGCTGAAGCTTTAAACCCTAATCCCACAGGATATGATGGTGATGTGGGTAAAATGCCATCCAAAGAGGTGGTTAAGTTAAAAAATGGATCCATTCACATAGACTCTAATTTAATCTGTTTGGCATCTTAATTACATTTTGTGTGTGTCCATGTGTGCCATATGCATGTGCAGAGGTCAGAGGACAACTGGAAGTCAGTTTTCTCCTTTGACCATGTGGGTTCTGGGGATCAAATTCAGGTTGCCAGGCTCAGCAGCAAACTCTTTCCCATTGAGCTATCCTACTAACCATGACCGCTGTCTTTATAAGAAGAAACTGGACAGGCACAGAGATACCAGTGAAGTGTATGAATGGAGGGTCCAATGACGACTTAGCAAGAAGGTAGCCATCCACCATCCAGGAAGAGAGGTCTTGGAAGACATCAAATCTGGGTCTCCAGAGATGGCTTTGTCAGTAAAGTCTAATGTGCATGGGGACCTGAGTTCTGTAAGGGGAGGTTCTGATACTAAGGGCTAGTTCCCTAATGGTACTTGATTTGTCAATAAAGAAGACCAGAAGCCAGTTGCTGGACAGAACGTACAAGTGGAACTTCTAGATCCCAAGAGGAAAAGGAGATGCAGAGAAGGAGAGAAGGAGCTTTTCTGCCATACTTTGAGGAATGAGGATGTAGCAATCATGTAGGCCTGGGGAGAGCTAGGGCCTGCGGCCTCCACTGCAGGTGAGTGGCCAAAGATGTTTGGCAGGGGCTAATTGGGACAAGCCACAATGTTTAGGGTGGAAGGAGAGACAGAGATAATAAATTGGTAAGTGCATGAATTTCCAGCCAGGAGATATTAACACCTATTAATTGTGCCTAGCAGGCAAGTTAAGGTAACAAAATGTGTCTTTTATCGTAGGATTCAAAAAAAAAAAAAGATCCCGGGTTAACACTAAACCCGGTGGAACAAAAAAGAGCAGGGAGAGAGGGAGAGGCTAGTAGCACAGAAGCTTGGGGCAAAGGCGGTAGCATGGTTTTTTTAAAACTACACCCAACAAGTTCAATACCCAGAAACCATGTTAAAAAGATAGTTGTGGTGGGCATATTTGCTCTCCCAGCACTGAGGGTCAGCCATAGGCAGAGCCCTGGGACTCACTGTCCAGCTAGGCTAACCTGCTTGGTAAAACCCAGCCCTGTGAGAGACCCTGTTTTATAATAACAAAGTCAAAACCAAAGTAAATAGCTCTGAAGAAGGACACCCGAGGTTGTCCTCTGGCATCCACCTGCAACTCAAGCATACGTGTGCACCCTAAGATGTACGGGGCTGGAGGAGGACTAGGGAGGGAAGGGGGAGGACAAGGAAAAATGGAATGAGAGGGAGGGGGGGAGTAAGGTACAAACCTTGACTTGGACTTTCAGTCTCCAATAGTGTTTGAGAAAATGAATGTCTGTTGTTTGTACCACCCCATCTTATGGCCACCCAAGTAGACCAGTCTAGTGGGTGTTCAGTGAAACCATGGGAGATGACCCAATGACTGGCACTTGGGATTGGGAACATAAAGACCAAGGCCCTGCCCTCATCATTACCGGCTATAGGACTTGCCTGTCGCCGCTGCAGCTGCTGCAGACCATGCTGCCTCTCTTCCTCTGAGTTGTAGAAGGGCATGGTAGTGCGCAGAGGAATTAGCAGCTGGCATATCTTTGCATGGATGCTGCCCCAATCAGCCTTCTGATGCACAGGACCACTGACAACAAAATACACTGTGTTATATTGATCTTTGTCTTCTCCCAGCTCCAAATTCCAGAAAAGTCAGCCCAACCCAAACCTGGCAGGAGACTAAAGGCTTTTCCGAGATGGAAGTCTATTTTCTCTCACGTCTGTACTTGGATAAAAACTGCACTGTGGCCAGGAAGTGGTGGTGCACACCTTTAATTCCATCATTCGGGAGGCAGCGGCAGGTGAATCTCTGGGAGTTTGAGGCCAACTTGGTCTACAGAGCGAGTTCTAGGATAGACAGAGCTACATAGAAAAACTGTCTGAAGAAAAAAAAAAGACAACAAATGCTGGAAATAAGTAGGGGATGGACCTTTATATACTGCTGGTGGGGATGCAGACTAGTGCATGGCTCCATGGTCACAGCACTTGCTCTTACAGAGGACCTGGGCTTGATTCTCAGCACCCACACAGTACAACCATTCATAAGTACAGTTTTGGGGATTCCATGCCCTCTCCTGAGCTCCAAGGACACCAGGCACACATGTAGTGCACAAACATACACAGAGGCAAAACATTCTTACAATAAAATGAAATAACTAAGTATTTTAAAAGTTTAATCTAAACAGTACCTCAATGTGGCCCAGCTATACCACCTCTGACGTACACCTGAAGGACTGTAAGTCCACATACCCTCAAGGACTTTTGTACATTTATGTTTATTGCTGCATGATTTACAATAGCCAGGACACGAATCCAGCCTAGATGCTCGTTAACAGGCAAATGGATAAAGAAAATGTAGTATGTGTACATAGCAGAATTTTCTTTAGCTGTAAAGAAAAATGAAGCCGAGCGGTGGTGGCACACGCCTTTAATCCCAGCACTTGGGAGGCAGAGGCAGGCGGATTTCTGAGTTCGAGGCCAGCCTGGTCTACAGAGTGAGTTCCAGGACAGCCAGGGCTACACAGAGAAACCCTGTCTCGAAAAACAGAAAACAAAAAAACAAAAAAACAAAAAAAAAAAGAAAAATGAAATTATGACTTTCAAGGAAAATGGGTGGTACTGGATACCATTATGTTAAATGAAATGAGCCAAACTTAGGAAGACATGCATTTTCTCATACCTGTGATACATACTTAAACACACACACACATCATAAAAGTGAGACAGGGAGTATGAAAGGAGGAGAGGATAGCTAAAGGGCAGGAGGAATGACAGAGAGTGATGGAAATATATATATATATATATATATATCATGAAGCTATTTGGGGTAGGGAAGAGAGAGTGGAAGGAGGCAGTGGGTAATATGAAAAAGGACAAAGTAAAGTGTGTCTGTGTGTGTGTATGTATGTGTGTGTGTGTGTGTGTGTGTAATGTCACAAGAAAACCCTTTTCTTTGTATGCCAAACAAAAAAATTAATTAAAACTAAACAAATAAAAACTGTTGGGTTTGGGGACTTCATAAACATACATTTTTCTGTAGTCAGTCTCACGAAGAATACCACTAGCAATGACTTCAGACTTGCTGAGGGTGGGGCAAGCATTCACAGGCGACACTGGCACGCTCTCCTGTCGCTGTGATGTGAGAGACGCTTTGGAGTGTAACTATTTGACTCTGAAAATAAATCAAAATCTGTTTGATCATGTTACAGTTCAGAAGGTAGCAAAAAGTGAGAAGGTGTTTTTAAGCCCCAAAACCAGTGTCTTTAGTGTTCTAGAAAGGATAGTGGTTTGTAGACTTTTTAAAATACATATTTTTGTTGGTTGTTTGACAAGGTGTCACTCTGTAGCCCAGACAGGAACCCACAATGTAGTTCAGGTTGGTCTTCAACTCATGGCAACCCTCCTGCCTCGACCTCCATGGTATGAGGGCCGAATGTCTGCATTCTGCCCTGCTAACACTTGTTCATGTCTGTGTTTGCAGCTGTCCTGATGGATTTGACACTTTCTCATGGTGGTTTGGATTTGTGTTTCCCCAATGACTAACGAGCAACTTTTCCTGTGCTAATTAATCACTTTTCTATCTTCCTTGGGAGGAAAGTTTATTTAAATCTGGTGTTCCTGTTAAAAAAGGACTGGATCTTTTTACTGTTTTTAGGAGTTTGAAATATATTCTGGATATAAGACATTTGTCAGATGTATGATTTTCTCCCATCCTATGGGTTTCTCCTCCTCTTCCTTTTCCTCTTCCTCCTCCTCTTCTTTTCAATATTTATTTATTTTTTATTTTTTGAGACAGGGTCTCATTATATAAGCCTTAGCTGGCCTGGAAATCACTGCGTAAAGCAGGCTGAACTTGAACACACAGAGAGCTGCCTGCTTTCCTCCTAAGTGTTGGGGTTAACGGCATCAATTTTAGTGAATGGACGCTCTACATTATAGAACCCAAGTCGGAGTGAGGACTTTCTAATAAATTGTTCCAATACTAAAACTGCTTCCCTTTATAATATCAAAAAAGGACCCCAAGCTGAGTGAAGAGAAGACTGGGACAGAATTTCCTGGGGGACCTCCCACCCCCACCCTGCCCAGTCAGAGGGCATGGAAGCCAGGTCTAGTCTTGAAGTGGTTAGTGGGCAGCACACATGCTGCTTTTTTCCTTAAAAAGGAAGTCAATCTTAACTCACTGAGACTTTTCAAGGGGGCAGTGGCCCATACGGTTTCCTGGGATACAGAGCCCTCCCAGACTCTCTGCTCTCCTGCTACTACCAGCAGTAGTGGGTCAGGGCAGTGTGTGTGTGTGTGTGTGTGTCTGTGTGTGTCTGTGTGTGTGTGTGTATGTGTGTGTATGTGTGTTGTGCTTCCTCTTGGTCCTTGGTATAAAAAGTTTCTAGCTCACGGGACAGTCTCTTTGGCACCAGTATCTGCTGGTGTTTTAATCTCTCAGTGATCACCCACTTCATGGTGAAAAACAAGTTACCTCCATCAGTTAGGGACACAGTGACCTGGAAGGAATGGTCAGTCCTGAAGAGTACCAGCCCAATCATGGGCTCAGTTTTCAGTGCCTGGAGGAAAATGGGGTAGAATTGTGTCTAACAGTGGCTTCTTCTGCAGTGCTGTACTCCTCAGACCACTTCCTTTTCACAGCTCCCAGATGAGGGTCATGAGAGCATGGCCGGTGCAGTTTCTTCCATTCTTCATCGTGTTGAGCGGATCCCTGGTGACTGGGTTGCCAAACACTCGGCTTGTTTTTCTTGCTGGAACGAAGGCAGTTTCTGTGGCTTGGTCATATATTTCTCCATTATGTGAGCTTGGGAACAGGCTTGGGATGATTGTGTTAACTGCAGGAGCCCTGAAGTCAGGACCACAGCGACTATCTCACCATCACCAGCCAGCCCTGGAGGCCACCAAAGAGTTCCTAATACTGCCCTCACGTGGTCAGGCCTGACTACTCCCTCACAGTTAGCTCCCAATAGGGCACTCAACAGTCAGACTACCTCATGTTCTAACACTCTTTTTTTTTTCTCTTTTTAAAAAAGATTTGCCGGGCTGGGCAGTGGTGGCGCACGCCTTTAATCCCAGCACTTGGGAGGCAGGGGCAGGTGGATTTCTGAGTTCGAGGCTAGCCTGCTCTACAGAGTGAGTTCCAGGACAGCCAGGGCTACACAGAGAAACCCTGTCTCCAAAAACCAAAAAAAAAAAAAAAAAGATTTGCTGGATGTGGTGTTGGACCTTTAATCCCAGAGGAAGAAGGATCTCTGAGTTTGAAGACAGTCTGGTCTACATACAGAGTTCCAGGACAGCCAGGGCTTGTCTTGGAAAACAAACAAGAAATTAAATTTTGTTGATGTCTAACTCACCTAGTTTCACTTTAGTTCCTTTAATGTCAAATCTGAAACTACATGAATTGACGTGATTAAGTTTCCTTCTAACCTTCCGCAGCTTCATCGCTAACATCCATGTCTTTTGCATACGATTATTTTTTTTGAATGAGGTGGAAGGTAAGAAACAAAGTCCATCTTACTCCACGTGGGTATCTATTGACTCAGCACCATTTGTTAAAGGACCATCTGTTCTCAATGAACGTTTATGAGCTTATTATAGACTCTCATTCCTGTACTGTCCTTACACAGTGCACTGTAGGAGCTGGAGAACTGCCTCATCGGTTAGGAGCACTGGGTTCAATTCCCAGCACCCACATGGCAGCTCACAACTGTCTGCAACTCCAGTTCCAGAGGATTCATGACACAGACATACATGTGGTGCACATATCTATACATGGAAGAAAAATACCTATATGCACAAAAGAAAATAAATCCTTAAAAAATTAGTATAGCACAGTAGTAAGTTTTGAAATTTCCATATGAATTTTAGTCAGCCTGTCTAAGCTGGAATTTCAGATGGACTGTATTGTATCTACAGAATAATTTGGGGACTGTGGCTATCTTAATAATAAGTATTTCTTTTTTTCTTTTTTATTTTTTTTAATAATAAGTATTTCAATGTCTAATTTCTTTCAACAGTGTATTGTTAGGCAGTCTGTGCTGCAATTCTTAACTTACAGTACATGGCTCCTCCATGTGAACTTCCCACCATCCCTAGAAGGTTATAAAGGTCAGGCCCTGCTTCTCTGTCTGAGTTACTGGTCAGAGATATCTCTGGACTGTTTAGGGACTTGGCCCAAAGAAGAAGGCTGTCTTAAGGCAACATCATATTTAAATGTCTATATATCATATTATTTCTGTCTAATGCTTTCCCTTCCCCCTCAGGACTCTCTCAGTAGTGTAAGTCTTATTTAAGGGAATTTCATTGGTTTTCTTTTTGAACTGTCCACTGCTTCATCATCATTTATGGTATTTCAGTATATAAGTCATACACTTCCTTGACTAAGTTTTTCTCTAATATTTTATCCTGTTTTGAATAAGGTAATATTCTTAATTTCACTTTTAGATTGTTCATTGATAGTTTACAGGATTGTAACTACTTCTGCATATCCTATAGTCTCACTGTTTTGTTGCTTAGTTTTAATATAATTTTCTAAGTTCTTTATGATTTCTCTATTACAAGCCTGTTAGGATCCTCCAGAGAAAACCA